CAAATATTATATGTCATTTTAAACGACCCATTGGTATTAACATGGTAACATCAATGTATTTTTAAAAATTAGACAGCGACGTTCTCTCAGAAGTTGTTCTGTAGACGTTTATCTATTGATGACCTTTTGACCTCCAGAATTCTGCAATGAGATTTTCGGGTCGATTCAGCCGAGACGGCCCGAGTGGAGTTTCATGTAAATGTTTCGTACGGAAAAAAAAAATCGCAGCCGGTTTTGAGACGTTAAGTTTCTTCTGTGTAGTAGAGGATCTTAATTGCCTAGGAGGACAATAAGGTGTGATGAGCTCCACATTGTATGTACGTGGTCAACAGAGTCTTGAAATTATTTCTTTGCTGGGCAGGAAACCAGTAGAAGTCTTCGAGCTAGACACCCACGAGCTAAATAAAGCAATACGCCGACAGCATTACCCCATGAACACACTATAAGGATTGAGTGATATGGGGAAATGCCTTAGTCCTAGTAACAATGCATGCTGCAATGTTCTGAATTAACTGTAATTTTGCAATTTCAGATTTTGGTAGCCCGTACAAGATGTAGTTGCACGAATCCAGCCTTCATGTTATGTAGGCATGGACTAGTCTCTCGGTGCTTTTGTTGTCGAGATGTTTCCTAATACTGTACTAACAATCTTGCGAATTCCTGCCTGAGCTGCACGACAAACTTGAACGAACTTGAGATTTTAAAACAAATATGAAATATGTCTATTTCATTAAAAAATGATTTGTTACCAAAACACCGTTCAATAGCCCAACGCAACAAGTTTAATCTAAATGACATTAAAATCAACTGTGAGTGACAATTTCCTATATTCACTAGGCTTGCACCTATTAATGTCTTTTATTTTTTCTACAAAAATATGTTTAGGCAGGATAATGATGTTTCATTCAAAACTATGTGCTTTGATATAATATAGTTTTGTGTACAGATGTATATTATAAATACTGCTAAATAGGGTTATTATTACTAGGTATGAAAAGAAATCCCCTATAATAAATCTAACCACCAACATTACTATACTTTTATTTATTTATCTATTTGTTTATTGTGTTTTCACTGCATTCTTACACTGCGTGGTGCTGTTCCGGGCGCAATCTGAAGGCTCCCCGAATCGACCGATCAATCAGCGCCGCTGAAAGGAGTCATCGGTAGTGTGCAGCGATTTTATGGAAAATTGGGTTTAGGCGTTTAAGTCTACTAAACTGAACAAGTTATATATCAGCTTTTATAATTATCGATTGAATTAGAAATCGAAAGAAATTAGAAGCCAAATCGCAAAACTATTCTTTCATTGAGGTAATCTAAATGCCAAGATTCTTACCTGATGAAAATGAAATCATGCTGTATAAAAATGGCACTAAAATCGCCACTGTGTGCTTCATCCTTGAAAAAAAAGATATTGTTTGGCTAGACCAATAAGTTTTCTTTCTTTCCTACAAAATGCCGAAGTCTTGTATAAATAAGGAAGTCTTCTGTTTGTCAGAGAATGTAAATACCTGTCGGGTATACAACTGCCACCACGTCTAGTTTAGATTCACTATTTACTTTTCAAAATCTATAGTAATAGTATGGAGTTTTTATTACAGTGGCATCGAATCGTTCAGCCAATCAGGCATCGAGTTTACTCAAAAGGGGCGTAGTAACTACATGTGGAATTATGATTGGCTACAAATGCTACTACAGTACAGTATTCTGTAATCGCAATGTTATTTTTTCATTCATAATTCAAAGAATCTTGTAATCTGTCGCTGTTTCTGTTACTGTTTAACTCTTACGATTACCGCAGTTGTTTTATCCATAGGTGCAAAGCTCTTGCTACACTTAATGATTGATACGGTTACAGATAGCAAATACCTGTAAGTAGTACGGGACACCGATAGACCTGTCACGCCAAAATTTTGGCCGCTAAAATTTGTCCGGGTGACCGATTTTGGCCGGCCAAAATCAAGACCTCCTTGGATAATATTGGTCCGGCAAGGACAAATTTTAGCTTCGCCTAAATCTTTCCGCCTACACCTGCCACAGTGCTACACTATACGAGTTCAGTACTCAACCAATTAGAGCACAGTGGGTGCTTACTTATCGGTCCGCATTGATTTTTTTTAGGGAAAAGCTTTTTGGTGGGAAAATTAAAAATGAGCGACCAATCAATATGAATATGATGGCGTTCAATCTGAAGCCTATTTTGCATACATCACCTTAGTATTAGGCCTACCACAGATCCTATATAAAACAATATGCAACTATATAAAATTTGTATATAGGATCTGTTGTAACAGAGATGTATTTCACAGAATCACAGCTGACTTTATTTAATAGGAAAGAAGCTCTTTGGGTTAGTATAAAAATTGAGAAACAGAAAAGGCCGACGTGCCTGTCGGTATGTTCTGCTTTTTACATTAATCATATTCTTAACTATGTTTATTCTATGTATTATTGCTGTTTACTTTTGGATG